CAGAAATCCTTGTCTCTGTCTAACTGTAATTAATCAAGATGTTATGAGGTTTTTTTTCGATGTTTGTCTATTCAAATGCAGCTAAATTGTAACCATAAGATCAAAGCCCCAATTAGGCAAATTCACTAACAGAAAAACATGCTTATGAAAGTGTATGTAAATCACACATGCACAGTTATCAGCCTGTATAAGTGCCACCATTGTGGAAGGCCTTAGCTGTCGACAGAGTACTTTCAGATGAAGAGCTTGGAGATTCTGTGTGTGTTTGTCATTATCCTTTTCTGTAGACTACTTTATTTAAGTCATCATCACAATTGGCCATTATAGGACAGAGATTCTAGACGATCAAACAAAAACTGCTGAGGATTTGCCTAAATAAATTAGGCCATTTTCGCTTCAGCGGCTAAAGGGGATTTGTTTTCTGTGGAATCTGAACAGCTTCAAAATTTTGGTAACTAATAGGATGTGAGCCCACCAACAAAGTCCTGTCTACACCCATTAGATGTTTATGTTCTGGGTATATAATTTTCTAACAACTGAACTTGTTATAAAATTGTGTATTGGATATTTGGTCCTAAAACTTTCACAACAATGACTTCTGAATGTTCACTTGCAGGAAAATGCTAGAGAACTACTTCAAAATGTTGGTAAATAGGATGTCAGCCGACCAACAAAGTCTTGTCTACATAAAAGTATGCCAATTATATGTATACCATCTGGGCATATCATTTTCTAATAACTAAACATGCTATAAAATTGTGTGTTGGGTATTTGGTTCTATAAAATTCACAACAATTATTTCCGAACTGAAAACACACATACAACGCTCAGGAGAGAAAATTACCTACAAGTTGAAAAAATACCTATAGCTAAACAGCCATCACTGCTGCCACCTTAAAATATAAAATATCAATCACACTTGGAATAAGCGTGTGAATAAATTATCATTCCAACTTCAAAGCATCTTTTTGACTTATCATTACTAAAACACTAATAATGCAGTGTAAAGTTCATAAAAAGAGTCTACACAAAGTCCATAAATTGTGCAGGAAAAATATCAAACATCCACAAGGAATTTTCAAGGGCTACCACTCGTGCATGTGAGATCCCTCTCCTTTCAGCAAGAAATTCATCAAAACAATACACTGCCCATTTTCATGACTGGCAAAGAGCACCTGTGTAAATTAACACTCATTCCTTTGATGAATCACAACTGCATCACTCCTCCATCTGGCTCATAGGTAGCCATATACATAATGTAGAAAAAGAAACAATCTTCAATGGTGTAGTAAACTATCAACAATCGTTTTTATTATTAAAAAAAACACAAAAGTCCAATAAATAATGATCATTGCTCACTCAACTGGTTATGATTATGCATAACAGATTATTTATCTTCAATAGGTCAATAGAGCATGTTAGGTTATAGGCTGACAATGTCAGCTACTACTTTTTATCCAACAGTGGTGTCCTGAGATCACCTTTTAAATAATTTTTACACAAAAGTCAGATTGTTATTTGTATGCTAGAACAGCCTTTTTCAACCACAGTACCCAATCACCCTGGGGTGCCTTCAAGCTCCGTCAGGGGTGCTTTGGCAAAATGCCTAAAAATAGACAAAAAATGCCAGCGGGTGGATGAAGCCTGCCTTTTAGTTACACAAAGCCACAGGTTTTTATTGTGCACCATTACAACCTTCTAGTCGCTGGTGTCCCAACAACCAATGATGTCAGCGGTTGTTAAGGACAAAGGGCCTTCCTCTGCTCCTCTCTATCAGCACTGGGGTCACATTAGCTGAGTGACAGAGAGAAACTGAGGGAGAAGAGAAATGCTGAGTCAGTACTAGTCAGTACCAGAGTACAAAGGTGTTTTTGCTTTTGAAGAATAAATCAACACTACTGTTGGGTGTCCTACATGTGCGAATATTGTGTCACATAAAACTTTTAGTTTGGATTTTTACATTTTAGATTGGGGTTCCTCAAGATCATCCATAATTTTACAGGGTTCCTTGACTGAAAAAAAGTTGAGAAACATTGTGCTATTGTCTTGTAATGTATGATCATTCAATCTCCAGTTTCTTTTGAAGGAAGAAAAGAGTCTAGCTAAATTTCATATAAAGTGTAGCCTTGTTGGTTAACCATATGCCACTCCTCAAACTACTGTGGTGCTACTGCCTATTTTATAAGAGAATTAGTTGAGATTATTTGGGAGTTTGGGTCTCTCTATTTAAAGGCCAGTTGAACTTTCAGTTTAAAACTAGCTAGGGTACTTAAAGAATTGAGCTCTGTCATTTCAAAGCCATTGTTTCTAATTTTTAGGGACTCTTTAATGACTGGCATAGTACCACTGAATAAGGCGTAAGGCCAATGTGGTGCCAATATTAAAAAGGGGGTAAAAATCTTTACCAAGTAATTATAGACCTGTTAGTTTAACTTCTATAGTTGGGAAGATACTGGAGAGTTTAATAAAAGACCACATAGATGAGTTCTTGCTGGAAAAAAATATTTTAAGCAACAGACAGCATGGATTCATGAAAGACAGAAGTTGTCAAACAAATCTGATTTATTTTTATGAGGGGGTGAGCAAAGCCTTGGACAGAGGGGTGGTGGTGGACGTGGTATACTTGGATTTTGCTAAAGCGTTTGACAGAGTTCTCCACACAAGGCTAATGTGTAAGGTAAAGTCTACGGGCTTGGAAAAATCAGTATGTAAATGGGTAGAAAACTGGCTAAACGATCGTATTCAGAGAGTAGTGGTTAGTGATTCATACTCTGAATGGCTAGGGTTGTCAGTGGTGTACCCCAAGGTTCAGTGTTGGGACCCTTACTTTTTAATATATTTATAAACAATATAGGGTCTGGGATTAAAAATACCATTTCAGTCTTTGCAGATGACACCACGCTGTGCAGTGGAATAACGTCCTTACAGGATATCTCCAATTTACAAGCCAACCTCAATGCTCTGTGTAATTGGGCAACTATGTGGCAAATGAGGTTTAATGTTGCTAAATGTAAGGTTATGCACTTGGGGGCTAAGAATATGCATGCATCATACATACTAGGGGGGTACAACTGGGGGAATCAATGGTGGAGAAGGATCTTGGAGTTCTGGTAGATCACAAGCTTAATAATGGCATGCAATGCCAAGCTGCGGTTTCTAAAGCAAGCAAAATCCTCTCTTGTATTAAAAGGTATTGTCAGGAATGGACTGGCCAGCAATGGTGGGACTCACCTGCCTTATGGGCTGCAGTACCAGGGCTGGCCAGCGGGTGCTCCCAGCAATCAGAGACTCAACCTTGCAGCCAGGCAAACACCTGAAACTGCTTATACTGGTGTATTTAAGGGATGGCCAGACCTGCAGACTCTGCCTTGGTGTGTGTTTCTCCTGGGCCCTGTATCCTGTTCCTGCTCCCTGTTCCTGTCTGATTCGTTGCTGACCCTGCTCTGATCCCTGGCTTTGTCTGACCATTCTCCTGCTCCTGATCCCTGGCTTTGTCTGACCATTCTCCTGCTCCTGATCCCTGGCTTTGTCTGACCATTCTCCTGCTTAACCCCATACGTTCTGACCTCCTGTTGATAATCCCGGCCTGCCTGCCTGACGACGCTTGCATTGTATGTACTGTTATCTGTGGGTGGTTTGGTTTGGTTCGTTTGCACTGTGTTATGTTTTATTGCACTGCGTTTATGTATTGTTAGTGTTAATAAATTATATTTATAACATATCTGAAGCCTGCGTTTCCCTGCGTCAGTCACATACCTCTGGTCCTACCTGGGAGCCCTGACATTACACCAAGGCCAATCCTGACCAGAAGTGGCTGCACAGGGAAGCCATCTTGGCTTGTTGATGGGAAGGATGGATCTTGATGAGGTTGTGTATTTATATCTGCTAGTGTTTGATGACAGGGAGTATGCTTATCAAACTCTGAAGGAGTATCCCCAGGATGAACTGCTAGAATGTATACGGCTCGCTCATGTTCTAGTAGATCAGGGCACAGAATTCTCTGAGGTGCAGCCATTGATTCAGGTTTGTGCTGAGTTGTTTTCATCTGGTATTTCCCCCGAATGCAGGGATGAATTTTTGCCGCCATTTAGTGCCGACCAGGTAGAGTCCCTGGTGTGGTTATTAGAGGATGATGTCGATTACTTTCTGGAGCGTTATTCTGCATGTTCACCACAGACACTAAGAGATTGTATAAACGCAGTGCAGTCTTTGGTCAGACAGGCTTTGTGTAAGCTCAGCTTTGTTCAACCCATACTGCAGACATGGACAGATTTGTTGCACCCAGCCTCAGTCAGCTTACAAAGACCCAGTCCTGCTTCTAATCTATTTCCTCAAAGCTCTATTCCTGCATTCCCAACAGCTCCTCCTGCCCTGCTATCTACCGCATGTCAGTACCCTGTTCCCACTCGCTGCACCTATCCTGCCTTTAACCCTGTAAAGAAGCCCTCTGTAGCAACTGTTCCCTCCCCTGTTCCATCCTCCAGCTCTTCTCTGTCTCCAGCTGCTCCATTCGTTTGCAGACCTGCGTTTACTTGCAGTGCTCCAGTAGTTAAAACCAGAAAAAAGCGAAAATTCTTTCCAACCAGTACCATCCTGCCAGTATCCAAACCGGTGAGCCTGCTGTCTGAGAATCTGCCTTCCATGGTTCAGCCTGGTGCCTCGGCACCCCGCACTTCACTTCAGCCTGATGCCTGTACCCAGCCTGATGCCTGTACCCAGCCTGATGCCTCTATTCAGCCTGATGCCTCTATTCAGCCTGATGCCTTTATTCAGCCTGATGCCTCTCTTCAGCCTGATGCCTCTACTCAGCCTGATGCCTCTCTTCAGCCTGATGCCTCTCTTCAGCCTGCTCTTCAGCCTGATGCCTCTACTCAGCCTGATGCCTCTACTCAGCCTGATGCCTCTACTCAGCCTGATGCCTCTACTCAGCCTGATGCCTCCATTCAGCCTGATGCCTCTACCCAGCATGATGAACTGATCCAGCCTGATGATCCTATTAGGCCAGTTGACTCGATGCCCGCTGTTGATCCAGACGATCCGGTACCTGATCCGGTGCCCGCTGTCGTGCCAATTGACTCAGAGCCCGCTGTCGTGCCTGGTGACTCGGTGCCCACTGCCTTGCCAGATGACGCGGTGCCCGCTGGCGAGCCAAATGACCTGATGCCTGGTGACCCAGTGCCCACTGTCATACCTGGTGACCCGATGCCCGCTGTCGAGCCAGACAATCCGGTACCTGATGACCCGGTGCCCGCTGTCGTGCCAATTGACTCGGGGCCCACTGCCTTGCCAGATGATGCGGTGCTCGCTGTCGAGCCAAATGACCTGATGCCTGGTGACCCGATGCCCGCTGTCCAGCCAGACGGTCCAATGTCTGACCCAGTGCCCGCGGTCATGCCAGTTGACTCGGGGCCCACTGCCTTGCCAGATGATGCGGTGCTCGCTGTCGAGCCAAATGACCTGATGCCTGGTGACCCGATGCCCGCTGTCCAGCCAGACGATCCAATGTCTGACCCAGTGCCCGCAGTCATGCCAGTTGACTCGGAGCCCACTGCCTTGCCAGATGACACGGTGCCCGCTGTCGAGCCAAATGACCTGATGCCTGGTGACCCGATGCCCGCTGTCCAGCCAGACGATCCAATGTCTGACCCAGTGCCAGCGGTCATGCCAGTTGACTCGGAGCCCACTGTTGTGCCTGGTGACTCGGTGCCTGTCGCTCCGCCTGGGGGCCCGAGACCTGTCGCTCCGCCTGGGGGTCCAGCGCCCGCCGCTCCGCCTGGGGGCCCGAGACCTGTCGCTCCGCCTGGGGGTCCGGCGCCTGCCGCTCCGCCTGGGGGCCCGAGATCTGTCGCTCCGCCTGGGGGTCTGGCGCCCGCCGCTCCGCCTGGGGGCCCGAGACCTGTCGCTCCGCCTGGGGGTCTGGCGCCCGCCACTCCGCCTGGGGGCCCGATGCCTGTCGCCCCGCCTGGGGGGGCCAATGCCTGTCGCCCCGCCTGGGGGCCCGATGCCTGTCGCCCCGCCTGGGGGCCCGAGACCTGTCGCTCCACCTGGGGGTCCGGCGCCCGCCGCTCCGCCTGGGGGCCCGAGACCTGTCGCTCCGCCTGGGGGCCCGGCGCCCACCGCTCCGCCTGGGGGCCCGAGACCTGTCGCTCCGCCTGGGGGTCTTTCGCCCGCCGCTCCGCCTGGGGGCCAAAGACCTGTCGCTCTGCCTGGGGGCCCGGCGCCCGCCGCTCCGCCTGGGGGCCCGAGACCTGTCGCTCCGCCTGGGGGCCCGGCGCCCGCCGCTCCACCTGGGGGCCCAATGCCTGTCGCCCCGCCTGGGGGCCCGGTGCCTGTCGCCCCGCCTGGGGGCCCAGTACCTGTCGACCCGCCTGGGGGCCCGGTGCCTGTCGCCCCGCCTGGGGGCCCGGTGCCTGTCGCCCCGCCTGGGGGCCCGGTGCCTGCCGCTCCACCTGGTGGCCCGGTGCCTGCCGCTCCGCCTGGTGGCCCGCTGCCTGCTGCTTCGCCTGGTGATCCGATGTGCCTCTGCCCGGAGTCCAGCCCGATGTGCCTCTGCCCGGAGTCCAGCCCGATGTGCCTCTGCCCGGAGTCCAGCCCGATGTGCCTCTGCCCGGAGTCCAGCCCGATGTGCCTCTGCCCGGTGTGCCTCTGCCCGGTGTGCCTCTGCCCGGAGTCCTGCCCTGTGTGCCGCTGCCCGGAGTCCTGCCCGGTGTGCCAGTCTTTGATATCCCGCCAGTTACCAGACCCGGGCGGTGGAACATTTTGCCCAGCTAGGACTGTTTGGAGCGTCCTGAGGCCGCTCCTTGAGGGGGGGGGGTACTGTCAGGAATGGACTGGCCAGCAATGGTGGGACTCACCTGCCTTATGGGCTGCAGTACCAGGGCTGGCCAGCGGGTGCTCCCAGCAATCAGAGACTCAACCTTGCAGCCAGGCAAACACCTGAAACTGCTTATACTGGTGTATTTAAGGGATGGCCAGACCTGCAGACTCTGCCTTGGTGTGTGTTTTCTCCTGGGCCATGTATCCTGTTCCTGCTCCCTGTTCCTGTCTGATTCATTGCTGACCCTGCTCTGATCCCTGGCTTTGTCTGACCATTCTCCTGCTCCTGATCCCTGGCTTTGTCTGACCATTCTCCTGCTCCTGATCCCTGGCTTTGTCTGACCATTCTCCTGCTCCTGATCCCTGGCTTTGTCTGACCATTCTCCTGCTCCTGATCCCTGGCTTTGTCTGACCATTCTCCTGCTCTGATCCCTGGCTTTGTCTGACCATTCTCCTGCTCCTGATCCCTGGCTTTGTCTGACCATTCTCCTGCTCCTGATCCCTGGCTTTGTCTGACCATTCTCCTGCTCCTGATCCCTGGCTTTGTCTGACCATTCTCCTGCTTAATCCCATACATTCTGACCTCCTGTTGATAATCCCGGCCTGCCTGACGACGCTTGCATTGTATGTACTGTTATCTGTGGGTGGTTTGGTTTGGTTCGTTTGCATTGTGTATGTTTTAGTATTGCACTGCGTTTTATGTATTGTTAGTGTTAATAAATTATATTTTATAACATATCTGAAGCCTGCGTTTCCCTGCGTCAGTCACATACCTCTGGTCATACCTGGGAGCCCTGACATTTATAGACTCCAGAGAGAGATATCATATTACCCCGGTATAAATCATTAGTAATACCTCATCTGGAATATGCAGTTCAGTTTGGGGCACCAATTCACAAAAAGAACATTGGGGAACTGGAGAAAGTACAGAGAAGGGCAACCAAACTGATAAGAGGCATGGAGGAGATCAGCTATGAGGAAAGATTACAGGAACTGGATTTATCTCTTTAGAAGAGGATATTAAGGGGGGATATGATCGACATGTATAAATACATGAGTGGTTCATATAGTGAACTCGGTGTGGAGTTATTCACCCTGAGGTCATCACAGAGGACAACGGGGCACTGTTTACATCTGGAGGAAAAGAAATTTAATCTCCAAACACGGAAAGGTTTCTTCACAGTGGGAGCTGTGAAAATGTGGAATAGACTCCCTCAAGATTTGGTTCTGGCCAGCTCAGTGGTTTGCTTTAAGAAAGGCCTGGATTCTTTCTTAGGTACACAGAATATAACTGGATACTAACATTTATAGGTAAAGTTGATCAAGTGAATATCTGATTGCCTCTCGGGGGATCAGGAAGGAATTTTTTTCTCTGCAGAAGCAAATTGGATCATGCTTTGCTAGGTTTTTTTTTGCCTTCTTCTGAATCAACTGTGGGTATAGGATTATAATTTTTTTTTTTTAATGGTTGAACTGGATGGACTTTTGTCTTTTTTCAGGCAGACTAACTATGTACCTATGTAAATATATCCAAGGTGCACCAAAACAGAATGTGTACAAAATCTTACAGTTGGTTTTCTTTAAAAAATTACCTTAGCCTAAAAAGAAAAGCCTGTTCCCTGCCAGCATGCTGTAGATAATGAAGACATTTCTTGGTATGGAAGCAATGGTCTCTCTGCAGAGGTCCCCAGTGTACCCTGTCACAGCATACCTGAATAAGCATCACAAAGAACAATCCCTTTCAGTTTCTTCTCACCCAGAAGCAAAAAAGATATAGACTCTTTCAGAATGTTCCCTGATCAAGTCTACTAAATGAAACCTTTTAGGGATTGCCTATCCACTAAAATTTGTGCCCACGCCATATCTATACTTCTGACACAGATAGGTAGGTACGAAACCATAGAGAAAATAATTGATAGTCAGAGATTCAGGGCACAGAAAAATCTACAAAGGCTTGTAGAAACAATTTGAGCAACATATATGTTTTGATTTACTAAGGGAGTTGAGAACCTTCACTCAATAAATTATAGCTGTGTTCACTTTATATTCTCAATTTTTGTGCAGAATAATATATATACAGTAATTTGATTTTCACATAATTGGATAATTGAAGTTAAAATAAAATAGAAAACAGGCAGCGCTACAGCCAAAAACAACAAGGAAAATAAATTAATTTAAAGTAACAAGAATGTGTAATTATATATATCTGTGAAATACTCAATAATTTTTCAACGGGGTAGCTGCTGTCTAATAATGTGTAAAAACACCTAAAAAATGAAAGTGAAAACAGCACTACTCTCAAAACAACAAAAATAAATAAAATAAAATTGACATTAATTTTTCTCAGCAGCTACCCTAAACACATAAATATGTGCAAAAAATATATAATATAAACAAGGCAGTACTAAAAAACACTATTAAGAAAAGTGACAGCAAAAATATAAATAAGAAAAATTAACCACATGAGCTAATACAAACAATTACATACAAAAGAGTAGAAATTAAAAGCACCCAAAATAGTTAGCACTTCTGCTTGGCAGTACTTAGGTCATTGGTTCAAATCACAACCACAGCAGCACCTTCCTGTGCCTGCGTGGGTTTCCTCTGGGAACTCCGGTTTCCTCCAACATGCCAAAAACACACTGGTAGGTTAATTGGTTCCTGTCTAAATTGGCCCTATTATGTGTATGTATGGATGTGAGTTAGGGACCTTAGATTGTACACATCTTGAGGGTTAGGGACTGATGTGAACACACTATATATATATACATATATATATATATATATATATATATATATATATATATATATGTAAAGCACTGCGTAAATTGACAGCGCTATCTAAGTACCTGTAATAAATAAATAAAAAAATAAGCAATAGTGTACATTTCACCATTCCCAAAGGAAAGTTTAAATAATGTGTAAATAACAGAAATTCCAATTGTATAGACAAGTGCTCCACTCTAAATGAAAAGTTCAATGGTGCTCCAAAAGAGAAACACGTGAGAAGGATCCTCAGCATACACTTTGGACAGCCTTAACACCCCGGTCACATCAAGAATGACTTTGAAATCGTGCAACTTACAGTGAAGTCGCATGATTTCTTAGTCGAGGGACATGCCAGTTTCAGGTGCGATTTGTAAGACATCTGACACAGATGTCTATGCAAATTGCACCAAAAGTAATACATGTACTACTTTAGAAATCGATGCGGCTCCGACCAAGTCAGAACTGCACCGATTTGACCGCTGTAATTGAGGACAATAGGGTGCAACTTGGCAACCAATTTGCAAGCCACATGGCATGCCCGATGTGACCGAGGTGTAAATAATCAGAACCAGAAGTATTGCGCTCTAATCATACAGATGGTGTTCCTTCACTCCTCTGAAATCACTAGGCTCCACGAATGTAATCAGCCACAGGTTATGTGAGTAATATTCCTCCACTCCTCTAGACCCACAAAGCTCCATTCATAAGATGAAGGGGAAAATAGAGAAAGAAACTCATCACGTAAAATTGCTAAAAATCTTTATTAAAATAAAACTATAGAAATGTATTCACATTATAAAGTGCCCTGGACTATCGACACAAACATAAACAGCTTAGTAATGGAGGGGAATCGCAGCCGCTCCACCTGTCTTTCAAGCCGGTCTGAGTTCCATAAAGCACTCACAAGGCACCGAATTTGACGTCAGAGCCGTTTGGATCCTCCACAATGCTTTTCGCATCGGCTTCCTTCAGGATAAATGAGACTTCTTAATTTACTGAGACTAATTTATTGTTACTGCAGGAGGGAGGGGAAAATACAGACATGCAGCCTATCTTGGGGCAACTATATCAGATAGTACCAAAGGACAAGGTTATTTCAATTTCCTGAGATCAGTTGTTCGTGGATACTATAGTCTGCAGTCACA